AGTTGAAGCCAGTAAGGAGATAAGATATCTCTATCTAAGGTTCTATGGATGTGACCCATTGTTCTTTTATTTGACCAAGAGATACCACAGCGTTGGAGGTTAAGTTCTAGAAGGTTATGATTTAAAATTAAATTCCTATATTGAGATGATGTGAGATGATTAATATTAGAGGTAGAAGAAGGATCAGAAGTATCTATTGAGGCAGCTTCATTGAGATCACCAATTAAAATAAAAGGAAAATTAATTGTTTGTAACAAGACATTTATATTCTCCCAAAAAGCATTTCTTCGATGTTTAACTGAAGAATCATATATAAAACCTAGCAACCAATTTTCGAAGGCGGAATGAATTTTCAAGAAGACATACCTAGAATTTGACCAAAAAACAGAAGCATTTATTGTAGCTTTCCAAATGATTGCTAATCCGCCTGTTCGGCCTTCAGGATTAATTATAATAGAGTTAGGATAGCGCATAGTATTAATTAAAGAATTTAATTTAGTTTCTTGGATTTTAGTTTCACATAGAAAAATAATATATGGGTTAAAGTGAGAGACAAAATCTATTAGCCCTTGAACTGCCTTGGGACGAGAGGCCCCACGGAAGTTCCAACTCATGATCAACATGGATACTGGTGGGGCTGAATCGGGTTGGCCACCTCCGCCCATGGAGATAGTAAAAAGAAAATAAGGCAGAAAGGAAAATTTACTAGTGCCTAAGGTTCTGTATCAGAGTCCACGTCTCAAGGCAAAGCATTGTCCACAGTAATGATACAGGCAGAGGAAGAAGAAGGTTCTGACATATCATGCCGATCATAAGTAGGGATAAGATTTGGATCAATATCAATCTGCAGTCCTGATAGCAGATCTACGTGAGGCCTTTTACCTCGGACACTAGAAGAAGGGCCAGCTTGATCATCCAGAATACGGTTCAAGAGAGATTGAGCACTTTTGTCTAAGTGAAAAGTAGCAACAGAAGCTCTGATAGAAGATAGGTTGGAAGATGAGGCCATCGCCAAGAGATTTGGTGACTGAGTAGTTGGAGAAACATGATTCAGAACAAGAGTCACAAAATCAGTTGGCGGTGTAAAGAAATCTTCATTGTGAAGGTTTGTATTTTGGGGTGGGGTGGTAGGTGGTAGTTCGACAAAATCACTGAAGTGCGGCTTTTTCCATGTTTTCCGAAGGGTTTGTTCAGCTTTCAGCCATGATCCAGGGTGATTCATGGTTCTCCTGTTAAAGTAGTGATCATAGGATAAATTATTTGTATGAGGAATTGGTTGCGGACAACGTCGAAACTGATGGCCAATCTTCCCACAGATATAACAAACTCAGGGTAAATCCTTATAATGGTAAGTTACCCATTGATGAATGCCGACAAAACAGACAGTTTTCAGAGGCCTATCAACTGAGATGGTAACCTTAGCACATATGAAATTTTGAACTATAGAAACGAACCTAGTGGGTCCTAAGCATTCAAACAAAGGACGACCAACATCTAAACAAAGAGTTTTAAAGGGTAAATTGTGAAGCTGGACCTAGATCTCAATTTGCTGAATATTCCAAGAATACTGGGGTCTACCAGGTACCAAAGGCTCCATTAGGATCCACTATTCGTTGAGAGTCCAAGGACCATTGTTTCGGACTCGATTATAATATTCTTCATAACGAAAGTTTAAGCGAAAATGACCTCTGTGAAAAGGGGCTAAGAGTAATTTATTAGCATTAAGGTTCTAAAGATCATAAAGGCCCTGAACAACTTCTTCAAATTGATCGGTAAGTCTAGGAAAAAGACGACAGATTAGGAAAGGTTCTAGGCCTCATGAACAGTAGGAGGGATCAAAGGTTGGATATTAACGTCTATATTTCTTGGACCATTACCTTGGAGTATGTTTTGAAAGGCCATGCTGAGAGCTTCGATATTCTCCATGATAAAAGGAAGAGGAGCACAGGAGTAGACAAGAGATAAAAGAAGACAAGAAAAGAAAGAAGCAGGAAAGCAAAACGGAAGAAAGAAAGAAGTAAAGAAACGATTTAAGCAGAAAGGCTAACGAGAGCAAATATCTTAAAGATTTAGCCTTAATTCTGTAGGTTTTGCATGGGAAGCAAGTGCAACGTGTCCAACACGAATATCACATTAAGTTCTTTCTCCCAAAGTGCAATACAATTATTGAGGGGTATTAAATTTGACCCATAATTTTCGATTTTGACTTGAAAGCTAGGTAGAGAGACAGAGATTTGTCTTAAGTCTCAGGCATTAGATCATTGGATGTGAAGAAGTATGCAAGCTTGTCAAAAAAAAAAAGAAAATATAGTACCAGAACCGAAGGCAATCAACATCTGCCATCTGTCTGGTTCAAAATCACACCTCACAAGGGAAATCTAAGATATCAACTTCAACTAAAATAATATAATTATGTAATCAGAAGATAATTCCAATGTCAACTTCAATGGAATGGAGATGCCTTCTAGCCATCAATTTGATGGGTTTACTTTATAGAAGAAGAAAAAAAAAAGAGACAAATAAAGAAGACACAAAAGTAAACAGTTTTGAGCCCAACACTAGACAAGTAGACAATTTAGAGTTTTGTAGCAAAGAGCACTACTTGAGTAAATTAATAAAGTAATTTGCAGAAAAAGTTCTTTGATCATCGTGGATCACATGCATTTGGTAAATGGTGCCTTAACTTGGGCAAGTAAGTTAATAAATATTCTCAGGCTGTTTAGTATTTCTGTATGAGGGGCTAAACTCTAAAACAGAAATCTGGCAGTAAAAGGAAGCATATGTATACTGGAGTTTTATAGATTAAGCCTTTTTTGCTTATTTTACAATAAAATTAGAGCTTTTGATGAGTTTTAATTAACCATCTTTGGTCTTTGGTAAGTGGCGCCATAATTAACTAGACCAAACTCTGATATTAAAAGCAGCTTTAGTTGTTGGGCCACATCCTGAATTTGTCAAAATCCAAAAATGCAGAATAGTATCCAATTTAGTGCCTGCCCAGAATGGGCCGGGATGTCCAATTTGCGCAGAATGTTAAAATGAAACTCTTAGCATTTTTAATTTCATTTATCTTTGGTGTCAGATCAGATTTAGCAGAATTAGAGGATCAAAAAATCCATGCACGTACGGTAATTGATTAAGCACATTCAATGTCCTCCTCACAAAGGAAAATTTTCTTTTATTTTATTTAGTCTCTTATATATATCCCACTTTTGCCCAGTCGGTCACATATCATATTGGCTAAAGAAAAAGGAAAAAAAAAAAAAAAAACGGAGAAGTACGAATACACCCGAAAGACTCTGACTCTGATTTTATTCGGTGATCCCTCCCACGGGCCACGGCTAGCTCC